GCGGCGGCCTCTGGGCGGGGGGCGCGTCGCTGTCTGTGTCCGCCGTGGGTCGCCCGGACGCCGGCCGCAGCCGTAGGGCGCACGGAGTCCGAGCGCTCCCGCCCTCGGAGGGCACCCGGCGCGGTGCGCCGGACAGGGGACAGGGAATCGCTGCTCAGTCGTCGCCACCGCCGCACAAGAAAGACAAAAGGGACCGGGGGCTGGGAAGGGAAAAGTTTTCTGCTCGGCTCCTGAAAGATGCCCACCGAACCTCACGCCCCAAGAGCCGAAGAGGAGGCTGGGGACGGGGTGCAGGGGGCCGGGCGGGCTACCAGGAGCGTGGCCACGCGATCGCGACCTGGTGCACGCCAAGCTCCAGCCGTCCACGACCCGTGGGCACTCCCCCGGCCAGGCCGCCCCCAATCTCGCCGCCAGCCTCCTCCTCGAGGATGCAGACAAAATCCAATCCTCTCCCTCCAGGACCCCCAGCCCCCAAGACCCGTGCAGCGGCCGCAAAGTTGCACTTCCAGAACAGGGAATCACCGCAGACAAAAACCTATCTTTGAGAACAAAATACCCGTTTCCAGGAGCTCTTCTCCGGGCTGGAAGGCCAGAGGGTGGAAACGGACACTCCCACGCTCGAGACGAGTCTCTCGCTGGAACCCCAGGTCTCGGAGCCGGGGTCCCGCCAGTCCCCGGAGGAGTGGAGAAGACCCGGCTGATTCCCGGTTTTCCTGGAGCAGGCGCTGCAGGACCCGGGCTCCACGCCCCTCGGACTCTTTCTTATCAGACGCCGCCTGGGCGGGTCGGGGTCCCCCTGGCGGGCTGAGCGGGCGCTGCGCAAGCGGAGCCAAACCCCGCGCGGAGCGGACACCGCGAACGTCCGCTATCTACACCGCTCTGGAGCGCCCACCACATCTAGCCCGGAAAGGGGCTCCGGGAGAGCGACTCGGGGGCGAGGGTCATGGGCAGGGAGGACGAGGGCGAACCGGATCGTTGAGGGCTTCGATGAGCAGGTTCAACTCCAAACATCACAGTCAAGGAGGGGTGTAGGTTAATCCTCCTTGCCCCCAAACATCCTGTGAGTGGGGACTGTGCCCTATTCATAGAGTAAAATGTTATGATAGTTACCTCCTATTCCGCAGAGACAGAACTGATGGTTGTATATATGCCGGTCAATTCAGTAAATAAAGTTTTATGTAAAACTCTGGATTACCAGATATTCCAACCACAACCCTGGCAGGTACAGGGCATACAATCCCCCAGCGCAGGGAGTGGGTTGTACCTATGTGTTTCCTGAATGCATTTGAGCTGTTAACTAGAGGGCAAGTATGGCATTCTAGTGCAGTGTATTTGTGTCTTTCAATGTGCAATCTGCTGATCTCATTTTCAAGAAGGGTTTGTTTCTGGATGTGGAAAATGTATGCGAGAGGGAGAGAGAGAGAGAATAGAATTCCATGCAAAACTTTAACATTAAAAATAATCTTGGAAATCAGATAGGGCAGTGAAGAGAGACTGCTGTAGAAATGGATTTCTTTGGTACAATCTTCCTGTCTCGACTAGAAGAACTTGGAGATTTGGCACTTTTAGTAAAAATTTCACAATCGAAATGTTAAAAACAAAACTAAAAACTAAAGGGGTTGGAAGTTGGAAGGGGGTGGAGAAATGAGTCACCGCTGTAAACCATCTGTGGTTTTATTTTTGCCCCACCTGTTTCTATAATCTTTAGCCCACAGCCAACTGCTCAACTCACTTAGGTGTTCTTACACTTTTGCCCAGGCATCCCATTAAAGGAGTGTGATTCCATGGTGCCTTCCTTCTAATTGTAGCCTCTACTTTTTATGACTAAATATCTTGAAACCACATTTCTCTGTAAAGCTCCTGAGAGAGGATATCTCCTGATTATGTTCAGTAGCTTTCTAGGAAATGAAGAATGGGCTCATGGTGTCCATCAGGACCATTAAACATGACATCCTAAGACAAGTAGTGACACATTTAAAATGGTCATCTAGCCATGTTACACAGTGAAAAACTGAGCCTCCCTCAAAGATGAAGGCCATGAAATAAGGAATAAGCACATTCTTTTGTCCACAAATATTGATGATTCATTTCTGGACTTAGATTTTAAAAAAGAAGCAGAAAAATGGACTACATAAGATCACCAAAGGCGAATTATTTACATTTCTGTTAAAAATAATTACTATTAGTCTCAGAAAAAACGGGGTAAAATATTCTATAAATAGAGGATTATCTGCAATTCAGTAGACCAAGCAACTCCCAAGATATTATTTATAACTTCTTCCCTGGCATTGAGTGCTCAAACTCAGGTAAATTATTTAATCTCTGCTAATGGCCAGTATCCCTCCATCTGGGAAAAGCGCAGCAAAAATACCATGCCAGTAATGGATTTTGAATTTAGCTCCATGTTTTCTTTTGAGGTAATGGATAGACGCTCTCACCATCAAGCTGCACTGCACTTCACATATAATATTTTTTACAGTGTCCTTCTGAGATGTGTAAATTTCCACTAGAACAAACCCATCTTACAAGAGTGCATAGTGGGAACAGAACATTCCCTATAATTCAAGCTCAACTATGTACTAACAGAGGGACTTGAAACTTCATTTTTCCCATCCCTTAAGTAGGAACAAACCTATTTCAAAGTATTTTTGCACAGATTAAATGAAATAATACATGTAAGACTCTTTTTACCTGTGACAGTTCCTCAACACATATTTAGTTACACACACACACCACAAACTTGTTTTAATGCTATTAACATAGTAAAAAAGAAGAGTCTTCCTCTGGAATCAAGAATTTTAGTATATGTGCTGCCGAAGCGAGCACTGGAATCAAGAATTGACTTGAGAAAAAATGTTGAAATGTGAAGTTCAACATTTTCATTCTTTTTTTTTTTAATTTAATTTATTTATATTTGGCTGTGTTGTGTCTTCGTTTCTGTGTGAGGGCTTACTTTAGTTGCGGCAAGCGGGGGCCACTCTTCGTTGCGGTGTGCGGGCCTCTCACTATCGTGGCCTCTCCTGTTGTGGAGCACAGGCTCCAGACGCGCAGGCTCAGCAGTTGTGGCTCATGGACCTAGTTGCTCCGCAGCATGTGGTATCCTCCCAAACCAGGGCTCGAACCCGTGTCCCCTGCATTAGCAGGCAGATTCTCAACCACTGCACCACCAGGGAAGCCAACATTTTCATTCTTGGTACACTACAAATATAAGCCCGATGGATGGCAAAACATTTTGAATGAATTCATTTTGAAAACATATATTAAAATGAAAAAGAACAAGTATTCATAAGCAGATCGTGTAACAAGGTTAAGGGAAGGCTTATTAGAAGGTTTATATGGGATGGCAGTCATTTGCTTTTGCCATAAATGTAGCCCATAGCATCTCCAGACCTAAGAAAAAAATTCCTCAACCAGAAAATAAAAATATCTTTAATGGCAAACAAATGGAATTGTTTGCCAGACTCCTATCTGAATTACTTTGTTCCAGCTGTGAAATAGATTGATAGTCATAAAGCCCCTGAGGAAGCTCTGCCGGCACCCAGAGTTGCTGTTTCAAAGTAAGGGGTAAAGAAGGACAAAGTCAAAGAAAATTACGTGTCTGAGTTCATCCTTAAAATACGGAATTAGGTGGAAAGAATCCAGAAGAAAGTAATAGGTAGCAGAAATACAGTTAAAATAAAAATTTTAAATCATTTTATTTTCACTGTTATTTTGAGTAACATTTTGCCATGTTTAAAATTTTTCTCTCTCATTATGTACAACTGGCTAATAGTTGAGTAGATTTAGCAGCAGAAAGATGTTGCTAGTTTCTGTTCATCAAATGTGCAACTTAGATATCTCAAATAGATATTTTATAATGTTGAGGCTGATGATATTACTTAAATATTTTATGAATTCCCTATTTGATAATAAACCTGATTAGATTCTTTCTACCTGAGTAGCACTAGTGGCATACACTTTTAAAATGCAGACGCGGGCACCCTCTCTCCCTTCTAAAGCCCCAGTTCTGGGCTTCCCTGATGGCGCAGTGGTTGAGAGTCCGCCTGCCGATGCAGGGCACACGGGTTCGTGCCCCTGTCCAGGAAGATCCCACATGCCGCGGAGCAGCTGGGCCCGTGAACCATGGCTGCTGAGCCTGTGCGTCCGGAGCCTATGCTCCATAGCAGGAGAGGCCACAGCAGTGAGAGACCCACGTACCGCAAAAAAATAAAATTAAATTAAAAAGCCCCAGTTCTTTCCTCTGGACAGATTTGTACCTACTTATATAAAGGGAAGGGTCACCACATAGCTGCTAGCAATCCAAGAAGTACTTTAAAAATTTCTGACTGTGTGTTTTGTTACGAGAATCTACCCATAGAAAATATTAGAGGTTTGAGAGAAATGGCAGAGAAAATGGTAGTGGTGGCCCACCTGTTCTACTGTCCATGGTACTGAACCAGTCAAGGCACATGAGCACCTG